ATAAATTGGGTGGAAGTAATGGCAGTCTTCAAAGACTCCGCTATTGAAGAAGCTTCGCGGTCTTTCCAATTTGATATAATATTTAGTACCTCTACAATTTTCTCAAATTTGCTTTCAAATTGGAGCACAGAATCATGTCTCTCGGTTCATCGTGTTTCGCACATACAATAAATTTGATATCCGACACTGCTGCTTTTTGAAATCGAAAGATTCAAGGCATGTTTTGCGCATGGGCTTTTTAGAGCATTTGGCAAACATTTTTACGATTCCATTGCAGCGCCCTTTTGTTCACCTAACATTAGGTTACACGTATCAGTACCAATGCCCACACATAGTTTTGAGTCTAAGTTATTGGTTTTAATGAAATGCTTGACTGTTTGAGCAAGAATTTGACCTGTTAGTTTGGGCTCCATTGTACTGTATCTGCATCAAAATTTGAGTAGCAATCCACAAATCCCATGAAGTCTTCGTGAATATGTTTTTGATAACAATACCGCAATACGATTGACATTTATGATTTATGGCTAATGTCTGTAGTTTTGTCAAATATAATACTGTCATACTGACTTTGCCTGGGGCGACTTAAAACTATATCCAAGTTTTCTTAGCCACAACATTCTATAATTTCATTTTGGATGCGGATGCTTATGTACGTAGCATGCGCTTTTGTGTTTTCTAAGTTTTGTTTAATAAATTGTCGCCGCTCTCGACTCTAAACCGTATTAGTTTTATAAAATTCCCTTCATTATTACGGACATCCTCGTCATTCGTGCTGTCATTGGAAAAAAGTCGTCCCCTATTTCTATGCCCTCTAAGTGGTATATTTCGGCGTCCTAAAAAAATTATAGATTCTATTATAGGAGTCAATCTTAGCCGATTTTCTGATACTTGCTTAATTCGCTCTGCACCTATTATATTTCTTATATCATTCTTTGGATTTTCGTAAATCTTTAAGAAGTTTGTAGCATCTGAAACTGCTTCTGTATGATATATTGAGTTCTCATGTGTCTCACAATGACCGGTTTTGCCATACAATTTCGAAAATTTCTTTAGTGGGACGGTAAGAAGTTTTCCCAATTTAGTTGATTGATGTACTCCTCCTAATTTTGCAAAAACCACGCAACATTCACAGAAAAGCCCTTGTAGTTCCTCTGAATATGACAGCCAAGGAAATATCTCAAAGTGTTTTTTTGATAAGTAAAATTTCACTTCTTTATTATTTTTCAAGTGTGTGGAATAGGGATTTTTGAAAGCGTCATTTGGGATCATTGCACAACTCGATAAGGTATATTTTTCATGGGAAGACAAGCTGCCGCTGAAATTTACATATGGCGCAACATCAACAAAACTGGATCCTTTAGGTTTCGCACCCGATTGTTCAACACTTGGTTCAGCATACGGTGCAATATCTAGAAATTTTGAAGTGGAAGGCTCTGGTTGAATTATAGGATTATCATCAGTTTTTTCCGGTAATTCTTGTGCCGGTGGATCGGACAGTTTGTTTTGTTTAGAAAGGAACCAATCGATGGTACTCTGTTTCCTTTTATTCATCCTGACAATAGCAGCTGTCAACCGGCACTAAAAGTTACACAAATATTGTCAAATAAACGGCATTATTGGTTTCCACGCATTCACGTATCTCATAAGAACCTATTCTGTTTGGAAAACAAGATTTCTAAGTTCACGCAATTTTCAAAAACTAAATATATAATTTGCCATCTCGGACGAACAAAATGCAGAGAAATGCTTATATACAGGGACTTCCGAGACAAAATAGACATAGATGATAATGATAACTGGAGTATGGACCAAACAATTCGTAATTGAAATTATATTAAATTTTCTGACATGCGTGGAAAATAAAAAATCAATAGAACATAGAAAATAGCGTTAATACCAACCAGATCAACAAAACTCGAACAGGAAGAAGCGCACACCGTGGGAGCGCCAGTGCATGTATGCGGTAATACAGCGGTAGTACAATTAGGTCTAATACTTAGTAGTAGTCATGTAAGAAATCATTTTTGGTATTTTTCCTATTAAGATAGCACACTAATGCCTGTTCTCGTTTTCTCGTTCATTCCACCACTGGTTGAATTTTGAGATATTATCTAGAATAATTTATGTAAAAGCCTTATTTAACATAAAACAACCCTCAGTTCCTCAGTAGCTGAAAACACCAGTTTCCTAGCATATCGGCGATTTGAGCCCACTACTGAACTGGTCGACTGTAATTTCATAATATTCGAATCTGAATCTGAAGCTAACTTCAGGGAAGTCTTCAAAGGAAAGCATTTTAAAATTTATATATGACCTTCTCAATTACCTTAATCAAGACCTTCAATGACATTTGAAGGCCAAATTATTCTTCCACGAGCATTTATATACAAAGCAGCGATTTTGACTATGACCTTCAAGATCATTTAATGGTCAACAAACAAATCTATAACAGGTTCTGGGAGCAGATCCACTTCTGCTCTACAAAAAGTGTTGGGGTTAGGTACACTTTTGCAAAAAGTCATCCTTTGCCGATGATCGCTGAGAAAAGTTCCTGCGGGCGCCAATGAACGTTGCTATGACTAACAACAGCCAAGGCACCACTACCGCAGCGACCACCGACTACGAAACATAGGCACCCTCCGTATATTCAGCGACGTGCGTGCTCAAAATATTTCTCTATCATTCTAAGTGTAAATGCACAAACATACAAATCTACGAGTATAATATATGTTTAATAAGGAGCGTAGAATCATAGGGGTTGGGATTATATAAATATACTAACGCCATAAAATTGAGATATACCCTCCCCCACCTTGTACAACCCCGCCCTCAATTTTAAAGGTCTACAATGATCAGGAGCCAATGAAACGCCAAAAAATGGATTTTGAACGTTCTTCCTTTTTGGCCCCTAGCTCCACCTCCCCTTGACCGATTTTCAAAGACTACAAACCTTTTTCATTCTTGGCATATAGTAATAACCGTGTGTGAAAATCTGAGCGGTACCTTTCAAGATACAGACAGACCGACGAAAATGAATGAGATGATTTTTCGTGATGTACACGTCATATTACATACAAGAAACAATCTCATTTTCAAAAAAAATTCACAATTACAATACTGCTTTGCCAGTGGCGTGGGACTAAGACGTTTCATGTGGAGTTTACACAGGGTTAACTGTTATAACTCCTCAAGTTTTATTTATATTATATCATGAATTTGAATACAACAGAATCTCGCTATTCAGCATGATCTGCAAAGTCATAGTCAAGGACAAAGACCAGCACTTAATTATTTTTAGAATTTAATTTTTTGAGACTTTACGGCCGTTGAAAAGGATTCTGCGCTAATGTTGGAGTCTAAAGTGCAACGAGTTTTTCCCTTTATGCAACGGTGATCTCTGGTAAGGCATGCGTTATCCAGCCAGTCAAGGCAATGTTAGTCAACCGTATGAGGCAAGGTCAATAATATAAAGGCAAGTTAGTTATCCTGGCCAGTTAAAGCAAAGTTAGTTATCCTGGCCAGTTAAAGCAAAGTTAGTGATCCCTGCCGGTTAACAGAAGGTTAAGGTCCGGTTTCGCAATGCTTAGTTAAACTGTTAGTCAGCTGACTGAGCATGGGCTAAAGTATCAGGTAGATGTTTATTCATGACAAAGATATTTTGAGATCAAGCATAACCATCCTCTAGAGCTGAAAAGTAGTGTCTTGTACAAATAAAAGTATCACAAATATGAATAATGAAAATATTTTTTATACCGAAGCAGCCGCGCAGACAGAAGCCTGAATGTCAGGGCTCCGCGGCTGCTATGAGGATCCCAAGGAAACTTTGTTAATGCGATTTTTGAACTGCCTAAGGTTAGTAGAACTGGGAAAAGCCTCCTCTCTGGACATCCTAGGGATATGCATCATGATGGATAGCTCTGAGAAGCAAAGCCCGTTGGTGTAGCGGTATAAGAGAGCTAGATCGCCGACGGCCCGTCGGTGCGAAATGGCCCCGAAACTGTCTACTAGAGAATCAGTCCGACAGCCCTTATCTGGACAGCATGGATAATATAGTCGGGGCTGCATCAATTTTATTTGAGCCCAACTAGAGGAGAACTACCTCTGAAGCGGGATAATTGATGTTCAGGAAGTCGATCTTCACAGCGAAAATATTTAACAGAGTTGAATCGTTGCACTATATGAATGCCTTATTTACATTTTATTCTCCATATCTTAGCACCTTTAAGTTAGAAATATGATTGGAATTAAAAAAATGCGCCACACCAGAAAAGTTACGCAAAGATAATCTGCTCGTTGTTGATATGACGTATCTAGAAAGTCTAAAAGAATATATTTTCGAGAACCAACACGACAATCACCATTTTCGCATCCAAACAACGAAACTGATCTTAGCATTGCAAAATTTTCCATCGAGGTCAGGTCCAAATTCTTTCGCCGAAGCATTATAGGTTATCTTGCCTATGATTAGACGCAATGCAGAAAAGATTTTCTGAATTGAACTGATTTTATTCATATCACCCAATATCAGAAGACCTATTCTTTTTCATAGCATAATTACATGATTATATTAAACAATATTAACTTACCTTTGATAACATTTTGAGGAAAATCGTCTCGAAATGCACAACAAACCTGCTTTTTGTTGCTTGCCTGTCTTTTCTGATCAATACGGTTGAATGTGTCACAATAGTAGTGACAGAACGAGTGTACCAATAATCTGTGGATAGAACCTCAATATTTTTATCACGAAATCATCAACGAACTTCCAAACTAACAGTTTAACTACGATTTTAGCTCATAGCTATCTTTGCTATACGGACACTTTAGTTTGTTCGTATCTCAACTTTGTTCGGCAACATTTTTTTCTAGATAACGTATTGTTCGAGATCCTTCTACGTTTTCATATTTTTTCTGACACCCTGTATAATTTTGACCGGATTAAAACAGCTTCACCAAAATAAAAAATGTATTTGTTTGAATTTATGTTTTTATTTTTCAAGCTAAGCCATCGGACTCTGAAGGTGCTGCAAAATGGAACGCATGGAACTCCAAAAAAGGTTTAGCTGCCAAATACGCAAAAGAGCAGTACATCGCCAATGTGAACACTCTGGCACCGAATCACTCATAATTGATATGTCATGGTAACATGACAAACTAAAGCAGCTTCAGATTCAATGCGATGTTATTTTTCAAATAATGTATCCCAAAGTATGAATAGAATCTCTCATAAACGTACAGTGTGATGTTACTCGTCCCTTTTAAAAGCCTGTTTCGAGTAGTAGGAACAAGGGCTTATGAGATATCAGAAAATAACTTCCAATTTTTTATTAAACAGAGAATATATATATGTATATATAGTAAAATAACAAAACAACCAGTTTTAAAGAATATTCATATAAATTCATAAAAAATATAAATAGGTTTTGTGTACAATATTACGTATTAATCTTCATTTATTTATAGTATAAACTATTGCGAATTGTCATTTTATTTGTACCATGCAATTTCGCTGATTACACATTTACCATATGAATATTGAATATGCTGGAATATTTCACCGCAACCATTTAATCGTCTTACCTAATGTCAATATTTAAGGTGACGACTATTGGGTCCCGTTTAAGAAGAAAACTCCATATGAAGGAATGCCCTAAACAGCTTAACTTTTGAGATACAGGGTCGTAAAGTTTTCAATATAGAAAGTCAGTGGCATGCCACTGACCTTTTTTAGAGTGATAAAAATTAAATCTGTATTCATTTATAAGCAGATCTGATTTCTTTATCATCATATTGACTGTATTGTTATAATCATGTAGGAAAACGTTTTTTAGGCAAATCGGATTGAAAAAAATCAAATTTGCTTAGAAATCATTGGAGATCTCAACAATAATTTTTATTTAAAGAGAAATCAGCATACCATCAATCTCTGCCAAAACAGGCAGGCGAAATTCCGTTCAAACGCCATTGATGGAAATTGAAAAAATGTGGTAATTCAAAAAATGCCTAGTACATATGACATGAATGTAAAATTTCATTAAAGTGGCATTTACAGATATTAATAATAATCTATTAATTTATCAAAACTTTTCCACCTGATATATATAAAAAATTAAGACGTTTATAACAAATGTTTATGTAGTTTTCTTCTTAAAATTGGGCAAAAAATCGCACCCTTAAATATTGACATTCAACACCCTGTATATACGACTTTATAAACCTAAAAGGTCTACTTGAGCAATTGAACATAAACTTTGCAATTTTTCTTAGCATGTAAATATGTTCACCAATTCGAATAAATGTAGTAATTATACTACAGTTTGTTTTTCAAATCAAATTTCACAACATCCTGCCACCATCTTGGTCTGTTCATTCCATACTCTGAGCCTTTTATTGATTTTTCAAGGCGTTTGTATACCTGGAAAATAAAACCATGCATAATAAAGGTATTATGTCTCCGTCTTTACAACTACGACAGTGCGTGGAAGCGATGCCAAAATGTGGTTCTACATGTCTTATCAAAACGAACCAATATGTGAATCATTCCACGGATACAGTCCTTATTCACTTTGTTATGGGTTCAAAATGTGACAACTTTGAAAAAATAGGACAGCGCAAAGCACCATCTACACACCAGAATCGACCATTGCGAAAAGCGCATAGCAGTGGTCGATTCTGGTGTGATATATGACGCTTTGCTCTGTTCTATTTCGATAGACCGTACCCTGATATAGAGGATAGTTGTAATGCTTTCGTTCGTTCGCCCATATACAAAAGACCAGGCCCACACCATGCTGATGAGTAGCAAAGAAGCACGAAACAGCAGTCCATGGTTGGCTGTATTTTTGATCAAACGGACGAAAGCATCATGTTTGGTTTGAAAAAAATATGTTATAGAAACTTTATGGAAAATCTCCAAGGGCCCGATTTTTCCACTAGTAGTTTTCTCGAGTCCTCAAAAACAAGTAAATAATCATTTAAAATATCAAATGAGGCACCCAATGTATTTTCACATTTAAAATCTCACTACTCCTAAATTGTTATTCAGATAACTAGCTTTATCTGAATGGCCAAATTAAGGAAAGCCGCTTAAAAATGCATTTTTTTACTGTACCTACCAAAGTGGCCGAATATCTCAAAAGAACTCAAAAAACGCAGACATTTTTAGGTTTATCCAAATATGTAAGAAAAATATATGAATACAGGGTTATCCAAATTAAGTGTCCACCATTAGTAACTTTGTTATTAGTGAAAATACAAAGTTGTTTGAATTAGCAAACTAGTAGCATTTTTAACGCTGGTAAAAATGAGAAATAAAAAAAAACAATTGAGAGTCGTTATTTTGATTTTTTTCAGTAAAATAACATTTTTTTAAATGGAAACCCCTGTATATTATATTTTTTTCTGTTAAAGCATCAAATTTTAAACAAAAAAGCTTACAATAGCTTTTCTCCTAGGTTACAAATTGTTGAAGTTATGGCCTCCAATCTGAAACAATTAAATTGTATCGACAAACTTTATTTTCAACATCAACTTATAATCTTACAAAATACAATAACAATTTTTTTTAAAGAAGATGCTCGAAAACACCACCTTGTTCTTCAATACATTTTTGGGCACGTTTTTCAACTGCTCGAACTGTCTTAAGTCCCCACAAGAAGTAATCAATTAATTTTGTGGCTTATCTTAATGCTGTCAAATCGCGAACGCCATGTTGTTTTCATAGCCGTCTTAATATTATAATACTGCAAATAATTAAAAATATTTATCGTTATTTTGACTTTATTTTTGAGTTTAGCGGAAAAGTCATTATGAACTTTGTTGTTTAAAATTTGATGCTTTAACAGAAAAAAATATAATATACAGGGGTTTCCATTTAAAAAAATGTTATTTTACTGAAAAAAATCAAAATAACGACTCTCAATTGTTTTTTTTTATTTCTCATTTTTACCAGCGTTAAAAATGCTACTAGTTTGCTAATTCAAACAACTTTGTATTTTCACTAATAACAAAGTTACTAATGGTGGACACTTAATTTGGATAACCCTGTATATATGAAAATTAACTGATATTCACCATAGCGATGATACAACATGTATTTATTATCCTGAAAATTTTTGAAATGTATTCCCAAATCCAAATCCCAGGATAATCAAGAACAATTTCTGTCTCGGAAAAACATCCCATCCATGCAAGTTTGAGCCACACTCTATATGTGATAGAGTCGCATTGTTGGCGAACCGGTTTTTTTAGCTCCGATCATTTTTTTACGTTTTGATAGGTCCTCACAAACATTGGTCTAAAGTTAAGATGTAAGCGACTGAATATTTGAAAAAGAGAGAAATATGTCATCGTGGACTCAAAAAAATTAAAAAACAAATTTTAAAGCTGTCAAAGTTCTCATCATTTGAGGAATATTTCAAACATAATTGTACCAGAGTTCCAATTTTGAGTGCAAAACTTTCACCAATTAACCCTCTGAGTGGATGGTGCTGTCGTTTTTTTTTGTTTTGTTTCAAATATTTGACTTGTTTGACTTGAAGTTCCATAGGCGGGTAGATTGATTTTTTGCTGAAGGTTTCGGGATGAAGTGTGCTGGTTGTGTGAAAGATGTTGACCAAGATAAAGATGCCTTTCCATGTGACCTATGCAGGAAAGTGTTTTGCTTGGGGTGCATCTGTTCATCTGAAGTTCCGTGTTCTACAGATAAAGAATAGTAGAATTTTGAAGTTTATATGCAAAGGATGCAAATGGGAACCAGCAACTACACCTATCAGCAATTCCATCAAGCAGTTGGAGACAACTCTACTTCAGGAAATCTTTATGCCAAGTCATTGATTACCAGGATGGGAAAATTAATGATCAGCTAGATTTGATCAACAGAATGATGATCTCAATCTCGGAGTTAAAAAATGAACCAAAGGTATGTACTTCTTATGCTAATGTTGTTAAAAATGTAAAAACAATAGTAATAAAACCTAAAGGAAATTAAGAAAGTGTTTACTGAGAACAAACTAGTGCTGAATAAATCCAAAACTGATGCAACATTATTTAGAACTAAGCAGAGTAAAGTCGTTAAGTCACAATATATCGATATAGATGATCATCAGCTGCGGTTTAGTGAAAGTGTAAAATTCTTAGGCTATATTGATGAATTTTTAGATTGGCCAACACATGCATTCGAACTGCTGAAGAAGCTTAATTCCATTTGCTATGGTTTTAGGGTAACATCAAGATATCTAAATAATACGAGTATGAAAATATTGTACCATGCTAAATTTGAAAGTGTTAGGATTATTTTATTGGGAGCCCAATAGGTTTATTCAAAAAATAATTGTTGTTAAAAAAAGAGCAGTACGTATGCTAAAGGGATTAAATTTCAATGAAACTTGCAGGGGAGTGTTTAAAACTGAAAAAGTCATGACTATGTATGGCATCTATGTGTATGAGTGTCTTATATTTTTTTTTCAAAAATAAAAATTTATTTGAGCTTGAGGTGCAAACTGTTTATGATAATCAAACAGTCAATGTTAATTATCCAATACATAGATTATCCTCCACAGAAAAAAGCCCTATTTACATGTGTTTAAAATTTTTCAATAATCTACCAAATTAAATTAAAAAAAACAGTTTACAAAAATTTAATAAGACTATTAAGCAATGTCTAGTACTGTCAGAGCCTTATACAATAGACGAGTTCTATGTGACTTGTAATAATTTCAGATTCAGAAAAAAAAGGTATGAGGTAAACTACTATAGTTACGGTGATAGTGACGCAACATTTCATTTTGTAGTGGCTATACAATTTCTGAAACGTCATTGTTGTCATTGTACAATGTGAAATATAGATTATTATTATTGTTATTACTAGTAAAACATTTTGTTATTGTAAACCCTTTAATTTAGTCCCCACGTCATACGAGTACTGGTGAGGAAGTATTGTATTCGCGAAAAAAATCGAAAATGAGATATGTTTTTTTAATGTTATATGTCTGGCTGTCTGTCGTTCTGGACCGCCTATATCTTGGTAAGTATTGACCGGATTTGGATTAAATTTTGACACAAGGTTATTACTGTGTCAAGGATGAAAAAACTTACACTAGCCTTCAATTATTATCGGCAGATCGCGTACCTTATGGTCGCGTCTGCTTCTGCTCCCGGCAGCATTTCGGTCTATAGTCAACGCCAAACAAAGTGGCGTGCACGTCATCACGATAAAAATTCCCCGACCTAATGCCTAGGTTTCTATCACAAACAATTGCTCTATTGCAGTTTCATATTAATGTGATATATAAATTGTAAAATGGTCATTACTCTCTTATTATGGTTAATAGTCATATAAACATTGTTATTAAAATATCACATAAGTTGCTTTCTGATAAATTTAGAGGCATTATGCGAAATAAAATGTTTTGCAAACGCTCCAATCACTTATCGACATGTAAACGCACTAAACCGATTTCGCAGCGTTGACACATTGTCACCTTGAAACTTATTTAAACTGGGAACTGACATTTGTATTAATTTTGACACTGAATCAATTTGTGGCATTTCAAATCTTTATAAATCCTTTGGCCCCGCATACTGTAAATCAACAACTGTTTGTTTCAAAACAAAATTATTCATTTTACGAGTAGATAAAGGCAATTTTGGTATATAAAGATGCCCAAACAGTTAAATAGTCGGTGTAAGGAACTCGTGGCCTCGTTAATGCACTACTTTGAGCAAGAAAGGGACAACAACGGGCCTTTGTTGCCTTTAAATGCTGTTCAAGAGGTAGGTTACTAATAATTATATGTAATGTATATTAATAATAGTGAAATTTTATTTCATTTTTTGTAGCGTGTTGCTGCTGCTTTAAAAATTAGTTTAAGGACAGTTAGTCGTATTTCCGAGGGTGTGAAAAGTGATGCAAATTTAGAATCGCCCAAGAAAAAGCGGAGTTATATTAAACGTGTAACCAACACAGCGACATTGGATACAAGTGCCATTCGAGAAGTGATCTATAATATGTATCACAAAAGTAAGATCTTATTATAATAACTTATCAGAAATTTGCATTAATTTGTTAACTAAATTATAATGTCATATTACACATGGTTTCAGAAGAACAAGTTACGATACAAACTTTATGGTCTCGATTAAGAGATAGGGCATTATTTGATGGTAGTGCCACGTCTTTAAGGCGGTTGCTTAGAGATCTTGGATTTAAGTGGCTTAAGGACAATCCGCGACGAGGGCTCATGGAACTACCAAGTATAGCTTTGAAAAGGGTGGAATTTCTAAGGCAATACAATCAAGCCAAGGTTGAGACCTTATACCAGTTTGTCTTCCTCGATGAAACTTGGATATTTCAAAATGGGACCATAGGTCGCTCTTGGCAAAATGGAAACCAAAAAAGCGTGAAAGCTATTAAAACAGATGGTAAAAGGTATGTACTTTTACACAATTTGCACTATAAAATTTAAAACTAATATATTTTAGATACATTATATTACATGCTGGAAATGAAAATGGGTTTAGCGATATTTTCTTCGAAAACAAAATTGAGCGATTACCATGGAGAGATGAACCAGGACAATTTTTTGAAATGGTTTCAACATCAGTTATTAGAAAAATTGGAGAGTCCATCTATGATTATACTGGATAACGCCCCTTATCACAGCATGATATTGAACAAAGTGCCCAACAATGCATGGACAAAAAAAAATATCCAAGACTGGTTGACAAATCAAAACATACCATTTTTAAACACAATGTTTAAAACAGAGCTATTGAGTATTGTTGCTCGGTACATAATGCTTCTTAATTATATATATTTTGGTCGACAGTTTATATTTCTTTTGTTTATTCCTATTCTTAAAATAACTGCTTTTTTAGAAACAAACCACCTAAAATATACGTGATTGATGAATTGGCGGAACAACATGGGCACAAAGTTCTTCGTCTGCCTCCTTACCATTGTATATCTAACCCTATTGGGTTAATTTGGGGCATAGCAAAAGGTTACTATAACAGACATATTGGTAGAGATGGTAACAGTGAAAAAGACTGTTTGGATATGTGGAACGAGGCTCTACAAACGGTTACCCCAGACATGTGGAAAAATAGTGTTCGACATACTGAGCAAGAAATTTTTAAATGGTATGAAAGAGAACGAATTTTTGATCGACCAGGCATCGAACCTTTAATAATCAACTTTGAGAGTGATGAAGATTCAGATTCAGACAGCGCTGAAGAAAGAAACTCCGACTAACTTTATTGTACAGAAAAAGCTTACACCAGTAGCTTACCTAATTTTAGAATGCATTTTTCTGTATGAATTCTGTAAAATAAATACCATGCATAAAATTTGGAGGACCCCATTTGGATTTTTATTCAGTACCTTTAAGCTATCAATTAAATATGGTAGTTTCATAGTGTCATCTGATCAATAATTGTCATACTTAATGATTATGCAAGTACAGATCTATAATTTTATTATACTATTATTTTTGTTCTCATTTGAGGTTAATATTGCTTATAAACCTAGATATGTAAATAATAAATTTTATTATTTTACAAAAAGTTTGGCAACAATGTAAATTTTTCAACACACCCACCTTGATGACGTGCACGCCACTTTGTTTGGCGTTGACTATAGGTAAATGTTCTAGTATTACTGGTGCGTTAGACTGGTGACCGGGTTAGGTACCGTGGAGTAGCGACGTTGCCAGATGAATTACCGGTAGGGCAGGGAAAGAAAGTCTATAGACCCTGTGTACGGACCTCTTTAACTGACCTTTTTCTCAGACGGTATAGCTTGTGCTGAACATATGATAACGGCGCTGCGTGCGAGGTGTACAGTCAACCTACTTGACGCCATTTTTTAATTGTTTATGAAACATGCATTGTATACAGGGAAAACTAGATTTGTCTGACGGTTTGAGTTCAATGTGTACGAGAGAGAAGCGCGAGAAGTGTGTATCAACACATGTTAGAAAGAGATAGAAGCCGGCTGAGGAGCGTATAGGTCATCACCACATTGTGCAATCTGCCGCGTTGCCAATATGTTACACCAGAAAATGCTCGCACAGGCTTCTAAAATAGGTTTTTTTACAGTAAAACTCAAGAAGCAGAAATGATTCATTTGAATTTTGATGCGACTTGGTGTTTTAATTTATTTTAAAATTATCTTTAATTTCTACAGATGGTGATAAAATCAACATATCCTGAGTTATTGTTACAAATACGTAACAAATACCATTACACAATACAAATGATCACTGCCTGCGTGTACGTAGGTAAAAACCATTTTGAAGCAGGACGACCCTCCCCAATGAACGATAGATGAGTACTGATCAAAATCGCTTATCTATGATCATGGCGGTGGAAGCCTTGCCTTGGAATGTACGAGATGCGGTTTTGCCAACCGAATCAGTGATGCAATGTCGCAGAATTTGTGGCAATCCTGTCCTTTCATTTCGACCTAAAATTGAGCGCCGTTAGGACCGAGCCGGAATCGATGTTAAACACGACACAATTCACAATTGAAAAATGCGTACGCTTAAAACCATTATTTGGACGTCGAGAATAAACTAACGTTTATTTTCAACATGCGTCTTAATTCAAGTAACATATTGGCAACGCAGCGGATTGCCGCGTCAGCGTTTGCTAAGCAACGCGGTTATGAGCTTTGCTATCCAGCCGACTTATATCTCTTTCTAGCATAACGTATGTTCTAAAACTTTTGGCACAAAATTCATTGGCTTGAATTTTAACAAACACAAAATAATATCAAGTTGCCTTTGGAAACAAAAGTTTGTTCACTTACTTTACTGTCATTTGACATTTATTTATTTTGAAGTCGCATAAATTAGAAATCAGGAAAAGCATCTACAAGTTGGTTGGGCGGGTACCCAAAGCGGAAATCTAACGAATATTGAAAACATTTCAAGCAGAATCATTTATCGAACAATAGCGGAGTGTGAGCAGGGAACACCATGTCTGAATCTCCCAAAAAGTGGAAGCGCCCAAGCACCATCTTACCCGTTGAAAAGGTACTGTATATCGTGTACTGAACCCACAGTACGCTGAAATCGGGCATAGACCGTCCAACTTGGAAGCACTTCATGTCTAAAACCATCGGTGGAAAAACTTTGGGCCCACATACACTTTTGTTCTACGTATTGAGATTTACAACAAGTTTTAAAAACAACTTCAAAAAGTCAACCCCATAGGGTTTCTGCTAGGTCTCATCTTAAACAGTTTTTTAAGATTCTCTATTGAACCATGATTTATAATTTAAAAAATCTTCTACATTTTTCAAATCCTCTCCAGATTATTAAGATTTTTACGAACATTTCAATCCATGTTGATTACTAACCATTCCATCTGACGCTCCCAGAACTGAGTCGAGGATAAAGTCTGGTGGTGCAATAGAATCAATCAACGAGACTGAATCATCTTTGAGATCTGCGCAGAGTTTTAATATGGCTTCGTGTACCAGCTCAGGGAGTTCAGGTCCTACAGCATACTGGCCTCTATACAAGGTCGAAATGTGCTTCTCCAAACTCCACAAGCCGTAGAGGGAGAACATTCTCGTTAGAACATTTCTTACTGCTTCGTCTGGTGATTCGGATATCAATAGCAGCATTCGCTGCAGATAAAAGTGCTGAAAATTGATATATTACAAGACTACATACTAAGGTGTATAGAATAAATCCGGTTGGTATAGTAGTGAGTTATGACAAAAGGTCTAAAAAAATGAACCCAAGTGAGTTGCAAATTATTTGAACCTTGCTTATGATAACTGAATAGACTACAGTAATATTAAAAAATCAATACATATATGGTTACGCCCGAAAAAATACCAGGAAGAGACCGTCAAACCATCGAATTTCAAAAATATAGAAAAGCCCGCATATTGCTCTCCAAATTCCACTAAAATCGATTTAGTGGTTAGCAAGGGCATACCTAGCTCAAAACGGAAACTTCCACCTACAAAATTATTTTGGTAGAAGTTCCACAAATCATATCTGCTTAACTATTAAATATTAAGGTATATACATTGATAGTAAGCTAAAGTTTGATGATCACTATGAATACATTATTTCAAAAATTGACAAAGAAACAAATTACTTTTATACTTCTTGGTACATATCTCAAGAAAATAGTTTATAATACAAAAATTATTCTACCGCATTTTGATCAACTATCTTGTTCACTGCCAAAGAAGCTGTATTCTCAAAATTACAAGTCCTGCAAAATAAAGCTATGAGAATAATATTGAATAAAAATAAGTACACCAAAATAAAATCTACCTATGTTACAAGAATTGCAGTGGTTGAATATAGAAAATTTCATACCATATTTCGTTCTTATTTTTATATTTAAAATAAAAAATCATATTTATAATTATTATACAAGAGGAAATATAGATTTTCATTTTCAAAATTGCAATAGTGATATAACTACCAAATCAATATTTCAGACAGGATAACTTGAATTTAATAAACTAAATAATGATATTAAGTCTACTCGTATATTAAAGATGTTTAGAAGAAAATTGAAGGAACATTTCATGGACAGTGAAAATTCTCAGAGATGCAAATTTTGTTTTTTTCTAAATATCTGCGTTATGTAATTGTTTAGTTTTTCAAAAGAATGTAATTGTAGCAATCATGCTAAATAAATCTTAAACAAACAAACAAACAAAAAAACTATACTTGATACTTTTCTTTATACAGGGTGGTCCATAAGTCCTTTGAAATTTCAAATTTGAATAAAATTTAACGGGTGAGCGTGAGCGGCGCGGGCGAGGTGGGGGCAGTATCTTCAGTGTCTGGGAATTCAGTCGCCATGGAGTGTTTCACTGGAGCGGATCGTGCTTTTTGTGTGCGCGCGTTTTATCAAAATAATGATTCGGCAACCATTGCGCGGCGTAAATATCAAGAATACCACAATTTACATAATTTTACAAAGTGTCCAACAGCTCAAACGATTAAGAACTGGGTTGCTAAGTTCGAAGAGACTGGTTCGACGTTAGATAAACAGCGGTGGGGTCGACCAAGGACAACTCGTATTGAAGAAAACATCAACATTGTGGCACAGTCTGTTCGTCAAAATCCTACCCAGTCTACTCGTAAGCGTTCCAGTGCACTAAACGTACCCAGAACATCTTTACAGCGGATTTTAAGGAAAGATTTACGTCTGCACGCTTACAAAATTCAGTTAGTGCAGGAATTAAAAGATAATGACGCTATTCAGAGACTAAACTTTGCGAATGAAATGTTGAATCGATTTTCTTCGCTCAATAATGTGTTGTTCTCGGACGAGGCTCACTTCCATTTAAACGGGCATGTAAATAAACAAAATTGCCGTTATTGGAGCCCCGAAAATCCAAGGCGTAAGCATCAGAAGCCCTTACACAGCCCTAAAGTTACAGTTTGGGCTGCTATGTCAGCGCATGGCATCGTAGGCCCTAATTTTTTTGAGGACGACAGAGGTCGCGCATTAACTGTTACTTCGGAGCGGTATGTAGCAATGATAGAAGAGTTTTTGACACCAGCGTTGCAGAATTTTCCAGGCTATAATACGCAGACCTGGTTTCAACAGGACGGAGCAACTGCCCACACTTCCAACACTTCTATGCCCGTCGTCTGTCAACTTTTTCCCAGCAAAGTAATTTCTCGAAGAGGAGACATTTCCTGGCCACCACGTAGTCCAGATTTGACCCCAATGGACTTCTTTTTATGGGGCTACCTCAAGAGTAAAGTGTACGACACCACTCCGCGATCAGTTGATGTCCTGAAAGAAAATATCCGAAGAGAAATGGCAAGCATTACAGCGTTGACTTGCCGCGCAGTCATCGACAATTTTAGACGTCGTTTATATGAGTGCCGTGATCGTAATGGATTGCATTTAGACGATGTGATTTTTAAAACATAATTCCCATTCAATAAAGATTATAACAAAATATAATAATTCTTCATAATGTAACTAGTTTGGTTTTATTCCTTTTTTTCCAGCTGAAAGGACTTATGGGCCACCCTGTATTTGCATTTCATTGTTTTATCCATTCATATAGTGTTCTCCACGATGATTTGACAATTCATATGGATATGGAAAACTACTAGGTTTACTTTTTTGAAACATCAAGTAAATATTGCCTGAGATCCTTTTTTAAGTAATAGTTTAGTCGTTTGCAATACTTGAAAGTAACACTTCAGATAATATGACAAATGTTTGCTATACTGCAAATTTTATATACCTATTTTTTGGGGTATACATATACCTCAAAATTCAAATAGGGTGCTTATTTGTTCAATCAAGTCAATAGGCCAGGGAAGTATTGTAATCGTGAAAAAACTTGAAATATTTTTTGTTCATGGGTTCTGTTGCGATAGAGTAAGCGTCAAAAAAACACTAATTTAATTACCGGTCCTCCTATAACTCGGAATGTATCAATGAATTTTGAAGAAATTTTGAAATTCCTGTCTAATGGTAGCATTATTATGACCAAAAATCTATAACTCCCCGAAACTTGACTTTATCTTTTTTTGTTTCTGATGATTTTTAATGCAAATTTCTTTGGAGGAAACAAAATTCAGAATGAATTCAAACTTTGCTGATATATTTCAAGACGTAGTCAAAAGTTTATTTAAGGATTGTGTAATTTGACAAAATTCGTTTTTCGAATTCTAATCATCCAGTTACATTTATATATTTTTTAGAGTGAATGCGAAGGCCCCTTATCTGCAGTTCGTTGCAACAGTAAATTGGTTATTGAAAAAAATCGTTCATTTTTTACCGAAAAGTGCATAAGAGTAAATATGGAATAGTAGTCGAAAGTAAAAGCCTTTGGAGATATTTAGGTTTGACTATTTGAGGTGAAATCATAAAATATTCTTATGAAAAGATTAAGCCTCCTCTATTCTGAAAACATTGTGAAGCTTGATAATGGAAACTATATAGCATGTGAAAAAACCCGCACCTCATTATAACATTATTTTAATAAAATGCGTGTGTTATCCTCAATCAGTAGCGTAAAAGCTTACAATTAATTAAAGCATGTCTATGCACGCCACTGGTTTAGTTTGGTTGTGACGAAAGCTATGGCACCTCATTACAATATTAATTGAGTAATATGTTATCCTCAATCAGTGGCGTAGAAGCTAACTATGCATTAAATCTTATCTGTGCATTCCACTGGTTCTCATGGTATAATTCTCTTGTTATGGCTCATGTTAGATTCTTCTGTTTGTCTAAAGTCACAACTAGTAACTGCAGAACCAATCAATTTGAGTAAAATTCTTATTACTTTACCTCTGAAATTATAGGGGTTTTTTTCAAAATTCTTTAGCATTTCGGATTAAGTGAGCTCAACAAAGAAGATATCACGAATCGTTAGAAACCTCGGGCATGATGCTTTCAATACTGTTCGTAAAATGCCTGGTATTTTCCAAAGCGTTAGAGCGTCTTTGTGCCATAGAGCACCGGCTTGTGTTGGAGACACTTTCAACACCTCCTTCAGGTTGGATGTTATAGCATTTAATCAGCATTATTTTTGTTCCCAATGTTATGTCCTCTTAAATTTAGAAAGAACCACGTAAGTTGTATCAAATGCAGTATTTATTGTTGTTGTGTTTAATTCTCAAAAATGAATATACCGGCAAAACCAGTGGCGACCACAGGAAATGCTTAATATTTTTCAATTAATGTTGTAATTGGGTGCCATAGCTTTCTTCGCATGCCATATAGTGTTTCCAATATGCTTCACGGTATTTTCAGAATAGGAGAGGATAGACATTTTCATAAAAATATTTTACGATTTCACCTCAAATATTCAAACCTAAATATCTCCAAAGTGATCCGACAAAAATTTCTTAACAGACAAAATATATGGCAAATTGACTGACCGAAAAGGTCAATGACAAATATTTCCTATTAGGTGTCCAGGTACCTCAGTTTCTACGTCCCTGGTTTAGTTCGATCCGCGAAACTCTGTGCGTTTATTGCTTATGATGTGCTTACTGAACGTCTAGAATCTTAAATTTTACTCGCTCCATAGATATATTTTTTTAATTTTGTCAATAAAACTTTATCACCCTGTATGGGGTCCATATTCATTGACTTCTTTTGTTATTTTTTTAATGTACCTTCTACCCTATATATATTGGTACGTTTTTCTGAAACACCCTGTATAAAAAAAATAAGCGACGGCAATACCGTAAACACACTAGCTTGCTGGAGAATACTATAGACCTTTACTAAAAATGATACAAATTAGGCATTTGATACTGACAAAAATATGTTGTAGCCTTGGATATTTTTTTGTAATTGTGCGTGATTTTTTTTTTTAAACATATCAGGAAGATTTGGGAAAAGCTTATGATTTTCGCAAGGTGTGTGTCTTGCGTTGAGACCGAATATGCCGAGTACCGGGTATCAGAGGAAAGGCTAATAACTAAGTCGTTTTAGGCCCGTATCGTCAGTCGTCCCTACAATTGTAGGGCGCGTTTATGGCCTCCTTGATTTCGATAATATTACGTCTTCTTCGGTGAGGTACATGTATGTCCTGCTTTGCATTTCTAGTTTGCTGTCAATCAGAAGTGAATTGTGATGTTAGGTTGTTTCTTTTTTGACGTTTAAAAATTTCAGACAGATGAATCA